AAGAATAAAATTATCCTCAATTTGGTACAAACTACGTGTCGTATTGGACCTGGTCGAGACAAGACGTGAACCAGTATCAAAATTTCGCCCAAACGATCTGTGTACCACCAGTCTCTCAAAATTCAAACTCATTCGCAACCGGTCCCGCCCATCCCAGCGCTGCAACTGCAACTGTACAAGCTCCGACCAACCCAATCGCCGACGTAGGGTCACCGGTTAGTATATCTCTTGCCTTGCCTCGTTCAAAACCCTAACTGTGCTTACTTTCATCATCTCCTCATTCATCTAAATTGCACATTTCTGCGACTTTTCTTTCTTTTTTACTTGTAATAATCTTTTGTTTTCTGCATCTTTCAACTCACATTCTTCCAATTTATTCTTGTTCTTATTCGCGTTACGAATTTTATAGTTGATTTGATTTGTGGGGGGTTTTTTTCCCTTCTCTGTGTTGTTGGATATAATAGCAAGCAAAATTTACCACTTCATCATCATATATATGGCAAGGAAAAGAGGTAGGAAACCTGTAAAGCAAGTTGCCTTGTCACCCAAACCAGATTTAAACGTTGCCGATGATAAGGAGCCCCAGATTGAGAAGCAAGAAGCTCAATTCACAGACCCAGATGGTATACTTTTCGTTTTATATTCTCAAATTTAATTTAATTTAGGATTGTACTTTGTAGTAAAGCTCTGGTGATTACCTACTGCGGTGTGCTCCTATTGTTCATTTCTTTTTTCGCAGTTGAGCGGCAAATATCTGCCATTAGGGCCATCCGTGATGTGGAGATTGAACATCTGCTGACTGAATTGCGTTTGCTCCGCTCCTATTTCACCAAGGAACAGCTGCAAACCCCTTTATTGCAATTTTTTAAAGACAACTATCAAAACCTGTCGATTGTATCAAATGGAGAAAATGGACAGATGGAAGTCCAATGGCTTGATAAAGACAGAAATGTGTCCATGAATGATGGAATAGATTTACATAAGACTCTTTTTCGCCGGTTGTCCATGGCTTATTCTGGCTGCTCAGCTGCAATCCCGCCCTTAGGTGGCTTTGAGTTTTCTAGTAAAGCAGGTATTAGCAAATTCTAATCTTTGGACATGAGCACTAGAATCAGAGGATTAAGTTTTGTACCCTCAGTGTTCTTGCTTTGCTTATTTCTCACCTGATAGAGTTGATCTGTGACAGAGAGAACAAGCATTCTGGGAGCTGATAATCTTCAGATCAGAGACTTTGTATGTTCTCTTATTATTTATGTCCACCTAAATGTCACAGAATTGTTTTTGCATCTGTTCTGATATGCTTATGTTGCATTCACACGCTATAAGTTATGGTAGATGTTCACTTTCGTATGGCATGTTTAAATAGGCACACACACCGTAAGCCCACTCACGCTCGGACATGCATGCACGGAAACACATATATGAAGACATCCATGCATTCAGACATATATATATATACGTATTTACCTTTCTAAAATTTCTGTTGTAGGTTTCTGAGGAGCCATTTGATTCTCTGATGTTTGGGAAGCAAGATACTCTCCAAACTCCTGGGGTTTGTGCCTAATTGATTGATTTTTCATATTTGGTTTATATTGAGCCGCACCTTTTCTGATCGTAGTTATGTTGATAGCTTTTAGTTTGATTCCATATTCTTCCATACCTCAGAACAAGTAGAAGGCCTAAACAGCTTATGAAGTCTATGAGTTCCAAAGTATACATGTGTCCATCTTCAGGACCTAAAAGAAGTGTTAAACTGATTATCCGTTTTGCTAACAAACTACAAGGGAAACTTGTTGCCTTCGGTGAATTTACGTGGATAAGGGAGATTATGTTGTAAGCTTATCTTCCGTGCTGAAGAGCTTTGGACTTAAACAGTAACGACAGATTAGGGAACTTGATTTGTAAAGGGGAAAACTAGAGAAGAGTATTATATGACGTTCTAGTGATTTTGGTACTGTCAAGAAAACAATGAACTATTACTTTATTAGTACAGAAATTGAGCTTTGACAAGAATAGGCCGCAGTTAGTACTTCGGTTTTTTTTTTTTCTTTTTTTTTTTTTCCAATACAGTCGTTGAGTGGCCTTGAAAACTCGGGTTTATGCTGCAGGTTAGTAGCCAAAGGCTGTCTATTGGGATGACACCGAAAACGGTTAGGTTCCCAAAGCCTGGGGAGATGCTTTTATCTGTCCATGGCTCACCTCTCGGTGTTTACAAGGAAGACAACATGGAAGCCATACATGGTATGAATTCCTTTCCGTGAATATTATTTGGGCCTTCGAATTTCAGATTTACCTTCTCTTGTGGTACATTGTAGCACATGTAATCATTTAGAAGGATTAATAGTATGTATGGGAGAGAATAGTCTGTCCCTTAAACTTAAATCGTCCTCTCTTCTGGTTTCATTCTCATTTCTGGACTGATTGGCAGAGTCGGAAGAGGGATGAATGACTTCAAATTGCTCGAGTAGTGAATCATGATTCAAGACTCCGCATTACTGCCAAACCAAGGTTCTTTAATTTACCTTGTAGCATTGTGCTAAGAAGCACTACTCTAGGACCTAAAATTGCTCGTGTGGTACTGATTCTTGTGAGACTTGATTTATGTGAGACATATTTTAGCATTTTCCGCTTATATAATTTATCTGTTTTTCTTCATTTGATTTAGTGATTTCAACCATCTCCTGATAGGATTTGGCCGAACTCTACTGGGCTAGGCCCAAGGTAGGAATATTCCTAATACTTTTTACTGGACTGGGAACAATCATGGGCTCGGCCCAAAGTATTATTTTGGGTCCAAATAGAACCTTAGAGCAATCGGTTCACCCTTTTCTCGTAGGAGTAGATTCATCACCGTCATTGAAAGAACGTGAAATTCTTTTTCCTTTCTGCAAGGGCCAAGAGATTCATCGAATTAATTTTCTCTTTTGTAGAAATGTGGGTTTAGTTCTTGTTTAGGGCCATGGCATGGGTAAGATTTTGATATTTCTTCAACATTTTTTTAGTCTCTGCCGTCCCTTAATCTACCGACGGAGGAGGCATTCTGTCTTGAGTGTGAGATTTGATAGTTTCTCTTTGAAAATTAAAGAAAAACTAATGAAAATGGTTTGAAAACTTTGAGTTTTAATGATAATGACAAAATAAATGGTAAAGTGAATAGTATCATGATTGATTTTTTAGTGTAAAAGTATGGTTTTTCGTTAAAGTGAACAGTACTTGAAGCTTTTTGTTAAAGTTTCCTTGAATTAAAGCCACTTTATATTCTAGCTAATGTGGATGTAGCCAAGTTACCGACAATAGTATTCTCTACTTATGCACCCAAAGCTCGATTCCGTCCATCTACTTTAGATTAGTTTAAATAGAATATCGCTCATTGGACAAATCAAATATGACCCAGCCTGCTTGCCGGCTGAATACACTATACTAGAATCATAAGAACGATTGACATCATATCTCAAGTTTGCCTTGATATTTACATCCATCCAAATATAGCCAGTAAACTCACTAAACACAAGGAAACAAAGATGTGACCCTTTTTTATAAAATTATTTCCTCCTTGATATCCACTCCTTACTAATTTTAATTGACACCGGATCGAGACATGAACAAAAAAAAATTAAAATTAATTAGTTATATAAATTGAAACAAACACAAAATTAATCAGGCATGGCTGGGCATTAGACTTTACTACGATCGTGTGTTTTTCAATGGTTAGGTTTTGAACCCTATACTCAGTTTACTCATCCGTGCCTGTCACTGTACCGACCCTCACCACTAGGGGTGAGTTCAAAAAACCTAAGATAGAAAAAATTCAGACCGAACATCGAACCGAAACCGAAAAACCGAAAACTGAAAATAAAAAAAAAACGAACAAAAAAAGGAAAAACTGAATCAAACCAAACTTTATTGGTTTGGTTTCAGTTTTGGAGGTTTGGAACTCGAACTGAATTGAATCCCTTTTAACACTTTATGAATGTATGTCTGTGATGCCTCTTTTGTGAAACTTCGTTGCCAAGATAGTTAGGATTTTAAAGAAGTTTATAACATTCCAGGTGTATTCAATTAAAAATTAATTTCAAAGAATTTGAGAAAGTTGAGGAATTAGAGGGAATTGAAGAGATTTCATAGTGTATTTTAAGCACTCACAAATCTCACATCTCCCCATAAATCAATTAAACTCCATAAAAATCCATAGATTTATAAATCCATTAAAGTCTCTCAAATTCTCAATTGAATACACCCCCTATGTCTAGGGCTTTTTCAAGAAGCATACTTGGTTCAATTAGGGAGGTTATTCCATTGGTTGTAGAGGAAAGTTTTGGAACTTGGAAAAGCTTCTCTATTTTTTTTTTTTTGCTTTCGGAATAGATATGGTGATCAATTTTCCTTTTTTTTTTTTTTTTTTTTTTTTTGCAATTGAGATTGTTGATAAAATAGGATTGTTTATATGATCTTATACCTTTCCACTTTCCCCATTTTTTTTAATACTAGTTTACCAATGCAAGCCCCTTTTTCTAAATTTCATATTAAAAAAAAGAAAAGGTTTTATAAAATTAAATCCGAAACTGAACCGGACAAAACCAAACTAAAAAAAAATTGAATTGAAAAAAACCGAAAGAAAACTGAACCTAACCGTACCGAAACAAAATTTTAGTTCGGTTGCGATTTTGGCAAAAAACTGAACTAAATGAAACCAAACCCATCACTACTCACCACCAGCCTAACCTCAGTGGCTGTTTTTAGTTCCCTTTTTAGTGCCGGTTAAATAATCAAGGAACGCTTGGATCCCCACATAAGAGATTGAAATTGCCCCTACTCATGTCATAAACAGACAACGAAAAAGAAGAAAAATAATATATAGATATATATAAAGAAAAAGCATGTCATTGATATTGTAACTAACCTAGTGGTGAGATCCCTATAAATATTTACAGTGCTTTTAAACCAGCACTTAAACTAGTCCACCATTTGAGAACAAAAACCTTAGCTCTGTATAGTTAGCCATGGATTGGGTTAGTGCAATAGTTGGGTTGCTAGCACTTGTTTATGTGCTGCAAGCATGGACCAAAAGCAACAACAAAAAGAAGAGACTGCCTCCCGGTCCCAGAGGGCTTCCGCTTTTCGGAAATCTGCACATGTTAGGGGAGTTCCCTCACCGGGATCTGCATCGACTAGCCCAAAAGCACGGCGACATCATGTACCTGTGCTTGGGGCTTGCTCCTGTCATTATTGCCTCATCCCCTCAGGCTGCTGAGCTGTTTCTCAAAACACATGACCTTAATTTTGCAAGTAGGCCACCACTTGAAGCTGCAAAGCATATCTCTTGGGGACAAAGGAATTTGTCCTTTGGCGAGTATGGCTCTTATTGGCGAACCATGCGTAAGATGTGCACCCTTGAATTGCTTAGCGCCCACAAGATTAAATCTTTCAAGTCCATGAGGAAAGAAGAGCTTGACATCTTGATTAACTTTATTCAAGAGGCTGCTCATGATCGTGTTACTGTCAATCTCAGTGCCAAGGTTTCGTCTCTCAGCGCAGACATTAGTTGCCTGATGGTGTTTGGGAAGAAGTACAAGGACAAAGACTTGGATGAGAAGGGTTTCAAGGCAGTGGTCCAAGAGGGCATGCATTTGGCTGCCACCCCTAACTTTGGTGATTACATCCCTTTTCTTGCTCCACTTGACCTCCAGGGGTTAACTAAGCGCATGAAGGTTGTTCACAAGGTGTTTGATGACTTTTTTGAGAGGATCATCGACGAGCATCTTCAGTCTACCAGCGAAGAAAGACCTAAGGACTTTGTTGATGTCATGTTGGGCTTCATGGGATCAGTAGAGTCTGAGTACCGAATTGAACGTTCCAACATCAAAGCTATAATGTTGGTAAGTAATATGATACTAATTCATATATATTGACATGCACTGTTTATATTGCTCTATTGCGAATATGAATCACGATGGTTCCCTACGAAACAAGTAATGGTGCTTATTTTGGACAACAATTTCGCAGGACATGCTCTCAGGTTCGATGGACACTACAGCAACATCGACTGAGTGGACACTCTCCGAACTCCTCAAGCATCCACAGGTAATGAAGAAAGTCCAGAAGGAGATAGAAAATGTTGTCGGCATGGAGAGAATGGTGGAAGAATCAGACTTGGAGAAGTTGCAGTACTTGGACATGGTAGTGAAGGAAACCATGAGGCTTCATCCAGTCGCACCATTGCTGCTTCCCCATGCAGCCATTGAGGACTGCAACGTTAATGGCTTCCACATACCTGGAAAATCCCGTATCATGATCAATATATGGGCAATTGGCAGGAACCCGAGTGTGTGGACTGATGCAGACAAGTTCATACCGGAAAGGTTTGATGGCAGCAATATAGATTTCCGCGGACGTGACTTCCAATTTATTCCGTTTGGCTCTGGTCGAAGGGGTTGCCCTGGAATGCAGTTAGGCATCACGATGGTACAGCTATTGGTGGCACAACTTGTGCATTGTTTTGATTGGGAACTTCCAAATAATATGTTGCCAACTGAGTTGGACATGACGGAGGAGTTCGGTCTAACGGTTCCAAGGGCTAATCATCTCTTAGCTCTTCCTACTTATCGCCTTCATCAACGTCAGCAATAATAATATATATGCGCAATTTCCAAATTAATAATTGTTGCCAGAACAAATATAAGCTAGTGTGGGAATTGTTGTACACTGATCAACGACTTTCAGAGAGGCCCAAAACCTAAAATAACTCAAGATAGACCTTTGCTTGGACTACATATGTATATGTTGGAATATTTACCTAATGCCGCACTTTTTTGGGAGAAATATTATAGAGTTAACATGGTCTTTTAGTCGCCACTTGGTACTACGGTTTAGTGGTATTCTTCTTCACTGTATATGAGAGGTCTTATGTTTAATTTTTGAACCACATTATTGTTAGTCATCGTGGGCTAAGTGCACCCTTTTTCTTTTAGTATATATATTATCGTTTGTTAAAAAAAATGCGGTCTCTTATCCACTTAATTATGGCTTGCTTGAAAATCCTAGTAGGGTTTGGAATATTAACTCAACATATCATGTGCCGCTAAAGTTTAATAAGAATGTGTAATATGGACAGATGAGGTTTCCTATTCTATTTGTACTTAATTAAGAAAAATCTAGATGTATAGGAATTCTTAATCCGCTTATGATGAGGGTAATGTTATTATTATTATAATTTTTTTTTTTTGCCAAAAAATATTATCTACACTAAGACCATCTCCAACTCTTGGTCTAAAACCTAAAATTTTTAGCCCAGAATATTTAGGTTTTAACCTAGAAACAGCTTTTCTGCTTCAACCCTTATGACCAAAAATTTTAACCCTAGATTATTAAATAATGAATTTAGGCTAATTTTTTTTCTTAAAGTAACTTTTTTAAAAGAAAAAAATTATGTAGACCATCCTAATTTAATTTTATGAATATTTTAACCTAAAAATATTTAGATTCTGACAAATACTGAAAAATCAATAACAGACATCATGAAACTCGTTAAACACTATGAAAAAAAATATGAAACACATAAAAGATTTTTAGTTTAATTACTTTAGCTGTTAGATTTAAATTTGGACCCGTTAAATTCTTGTTTTTACCTAAATCTGGCTTTGTTTTAGGTTTTAGGTCCAATTTTAATCTTGGGTTGGGTTGGATTTTTTTGGGTTTGGGGGGAGGGGGGGCCAGGGGAAGTGAAGGAAGATTTGTGAAAAACATGTTCATTTAAGCAACATCAATAGCATGCAATTAACAATTAAAGGCGGAATCATGCTTGTATGCACTTAAAAACAAAACATTTACCCATGAAATTCAAAGCCTAGTAGATAGGTGAACCAAGACTCAACTCAAAACAAAGTGAGTTGAGAAATCAATACCTTTGTAGATTCCTCTTTGCATAAGCAAAGGCTAATCACCCAAAGAGAGGGCCTTCATTCCTTGCATCTTAGATCCATGGATTTGGATGGATGAAAAAGTTTCTCCAAGTTCCCAAAATTGAGAACCTCTAATGATTCATCACCAAGGCATAATGAAGAAGAAATGAGTGACCTTGGAGGAGTTTGATTGCTAGATGATCCCTCCAAGGTGGCCTAAATTTTAGAGAGAAAGGAGAGCTTGTGTTCTCATCCTTTCCCCAAAAATTACCATATGTAAATTTTAGGCTATAAAGTCCTTTATATAGTCCCTTCAAATAAGTGACCTAATGGACAAAAAGCCCTATTCTTCTAACATGGCAAGCCTATAGGGTTTATTGGGCTTTCAAGCCCTTTGTTTATTCAAGTTGTCATACAACTTGAGTTAATGGGCTTGACATTCAAATCTCATTGGGCCTTGCGGCCCAAAACTAACCCGAGGTCTTTAACGAACTTATTCGTTTGATTAATTAACATATTAATTAATCCTAGCCTTAGATAAATAATTAAACCATTTAATTATTCTTACTCATCTCCGTTGTTTCTTCAAACTCTACCTTACTCGGTGAACGATCCATTAGGTTCCTTTTAGCGAGGCAGTGGGCGATTAAAACTCTTTCTAATCGATTGTGAATTGAAACTTACTTTCAATTCTCCCGTTAGTGATAATACACTTTTAGGGCTTCCACAAACCATGGTTGACGCCTAGCAGCATGTCATGGTTACCCAAGCTAATCAGAAGAGGTGGAGAACCTATTCAGTTTTAGGATTACAAATGCAATACGGTCTTTCTCTAATACAATACTCTTGACCACATTGTTTGGTTTGATAGTTTATTCATGTCGACTATCCAATGTGAGTCTTGTGCTTATATGATTACCTTGAATGTGATTTGGAACACATTCCTAAATCTCATTCATACTTTGGCCAAAGATTCTTAATCATATCATAGAGTATTCTCCCTCAAACAGTTTGAAGGTTAGAGATCCCTTGTTGCGCATTCACTTGCCTCCATGGCTAAGTGGCTTAACCCCAACGATGCCATGGACACCCTCCTGATGGAGTGACTTTGACATAATCAAAGACTAAGGACCTAACCACAAGACAACTGTGATGCCTCAGGTCAAAAGACTAATTTGCATTATCCCAACCATGAGTTCTTATGTGACATGAATATGAGAACTCTTCGTTGATCGTGTTCAGTGAACTCATTCTCTATTGAGCACCTACGTACTTGTCTTGATGTCACACACACCAATGACTCGAGACTAGTCACTCTCCCTGAGAGAAGACATAGCACGTACTGATCTTAACGGACTGTCAATGCCCAATTGACAATCCTATGATCAGGAACGTTTAGGATGTGTCAACGAAAGAATGGTCTCATGAATCTAACTTCTTTAGATCGCATTCTTCCAATCACATATTCCTTGGACTTATCGTTTAAGCATATAACATTTATATGAGACGGCTCAAACAATAATGTTTGCCCTTTACATTTAAACTACATTAGTTTGAAATGTCCGTAAAGTATCATCATATGATTGGTTTTAGGGCACATTTCCAACAGGAAGGGGGAGAAAAGAAAAGGAAAAATAGGTTGTAGGCCACGGTTGGAGATGGTCTAAAGAAAGAAGGTGAGTTTAGGCTCACCAATGGGCTAGCTATTTTCAAGTGAAGAGAAATACCATTAGACCATAGTACTAAGTGCGAGAGTGAAATTATTATGGTTATGTAATCCATAAAAGTAAAGGTCTTCGTTGGTACTACACAGAGTAGTGAAGGAGGAGCAAATTGTGCAATTGCACAGGATCCACACCTTCATAAAGCCCTCAAATTTTGACATATTGATACATCCATTCCATTGTTGACAAAAAAGAAAAACAAAATACATCCTATCCATTGCAATTTGATTTATTTTGTTGCTTGTTTGGGTAAGGAGAATGAATGAGTGGGTTTTTAAGCTAGACCTTCCCACAACTGAAATTTCATTTAGTTATGATAACTTTTGGGGTTTTTTTTTTTTTTTTTTTTTTTTTTTCTGTTTTTCTTTTTCTGGCTGAGTCTGAGGTATCCTACACCTTGAAGGGTATGACTAAATCTTAATGAGGTCCGGTCTGAAAAGACTAAATGCATTTTAGCCCACCTCTTACCACAATTAAATGTCACACATCCTTCCAATACTTTCAACCAAAGAGTACGTAAAATGAAATGATTTAATATTTCAGCATGTATCCTCTAAATTACTTTACCTATTTGGTCGAACCTACCAAAAATCGTTGAAAGTATCGGTAGGGATGTACTGAAAATATGAATCTGGATCTAAGCTTTCCCAAGCATTACAAGGTCATTCAAATTGATATAAAATAATTAAACAAAACTGAAGTCATACCGCATAGGGAGCCTCCAAACGGGACGTTTTGATATAGGCGTCTCGCTTTTTAATTTTTTAGACTAAACATGCACTTCTTTTGAAAATTTGATCAAGCATTTTTCTAAAATTTTGGTTATTAATTTCATTTTTTCACATAAGTTTATTTTGTTTAGAATTTTAGTTTTTCATGACTTTTCCTAGACATTTCGTTTTTTTTTTCTTTTCCTCTTATCCCTATATTTATGCATTTATTATCCATCTCTATGCATTTTTTTATTGTTTGTTATAATTTTACTTTTTTTTTTGTGAATATAGTAGAATATTTATAAAAAAAATTGTCAGATTTTATTATTTAGAAGACCCAACACATAATAAAGATTTGTTTGATTATAAAGCTACATCTAGTTACCTATAATATGGACACATTTAGTTTTATAGTGGATTTGATATTTTGTATTTCTCGGTACATTTGGAATGTAAATGTACCAAAAGGGTTATTAGATAGAGACATTTGGTTTTGTGGTACATTTGTGATTTTTTGTTCATTTGGTCTTTTGGTACATTTGGAATCTAAACGTACCAAAAGAGTTACCTGACAATGGGCACATTTGGTTTATCTGTAAATTTGAAATCTAAACGTACGAAAAGAGTTACATAACAATGGGTACATTTGGTTTTATGGTACATTTGAATTTTTAGTACATTTGGTTTCTCAGTACATTTAAAATCTAAATGTACCAAAAGTCGATACTTTTGTTCTCAAATGTACCATAAGTTTTAAGTATATTTTTTATATATCTATACGTGAAAAAAATATATATTGAAGACTTTTTTATTGAGATATTTTTAATAGAAAGAGAATTTTTTTTAAATACTGATAATAAGGTAATGAGGAATTAGTTAATTAATGTTTTATTTTATTTTATTTAAAAAATATCATTTAATGTGTGGAAGGGGATTGACGAAATTAAATTCCTATATTGTAGGTAATTAGTTGCAAAGTTACCTTATGCCTCTATATAAATGCATTTAAATTAATGACATGGAAATTAAATAAATAGAAAATTATTGAGGTGGCAATTGATCAAAGCACCTTAATCAAATCTTTAAAAGGGATGAATGTTTAATCTAACAACTATAGAAAAGATGTAGGGCATTCTAATTTCACTATAAGTACTTTAATATTAAAATTGTGTGAGGTGTCAATAAAATAACTCTAGGTTTAAGGACGTTCTTGTGAGATTAAGTTAACAAGGGTATGGTTTTATTGACACACACAATTTGTTAAATCGACCTCACTTACTGAAAACGCATCA